CTGCTCCTATGATGCTGCTTGGCCTGCTGTGTTCATCCAGCCCTGCACCTTGTGATTACATGCTGGGATGCAGTGTCTGGATAATTCTAATGAATGCATACTGGGGTTTAAAGATAATTTGTACAATGTTGGTCAGTGCATGATTTTTTTTTTCTATTCATTTGTGGGATGTGGGCATTGCTGGCTGAGCCAGCAATTATCGCCCATCCCTAGATGTCCTCGAGAAGGTGGTGGTGAGCTGCCTTCTTGAATCACTGAAGTCCACCTGCTGTGGGTTGACCCACAATGCCATTAGGGAGGGAATTTCACAATTTTGACCCGCCGACAGTGAAGGAATGGTGATATATTTCCAAGTCATAATGGTAAGTGGCTTAGAGGGGAACTCCAAGGTGGTAGTGTTCCCACATGTCTGCTGTCCTTGTCCTTCTAGATGGAAGCGGTCATGGGTTTGGAAGGTGCTGTCTAGGGATCTTTGGTGAATTTCTGCAGTGCATTTTATAGACAGTACACACTGCTGCTACTGAGTGTTGGTGGTAGAGGGAGTGGATGCTTATGATTGTAGTGCCAATCAAGCAGTCTGCTTTGTCCTGGATGGTGTCAAGTTTCTTGAGTGTTGTTGGGGCTGTACTCATCCAGGCAAATGGGGAGTATTCTGTCATCCTGACTGGTGCGTTGTAAATGGTGGACAGGCTTTGAGGTGTCAGGAAGTGAGTTACTCGCCACAGTATTCCTAGCTTCTGACCTGCTCCTGTAGCCACAGTGTTTATGTGGTAAGTCCACTTGAGCTTCTGGTCAATGAAAACCCCCAGGATGTTGATAGTGGGGGGATTCAGTGAAGGTAACATCATTGAATGTCAAGGGGCGATGGTTAGATTGTCTCTTATTGGTGATGGTCATAGCCTGGCATTTGTGTGGCCTGAATGTCACTTGCCACTTGTCAGCCCAAGCCTGCATATTGTCCGGATCTTGTTGCATTTGAACATGGACTGCTTCAGTATCTGAGGAGTTGCAAATGATGCTGAACATTGCACAATCATCGGTGAATATCCCCACTTCTGACCTTATGATGGAGGGAAGATCATCGATGAAGCAGCAGAAGATGGTTGGGCCGAGGTCACTACCCTGAGGATCTCATGCAGACGTGATGTCCTGGAGCCGGGGTGATTGACCTCCAACAACCACAACAATCTTCCTATGTGCCAGGTATAACTCCTACCACTGGAATGTTTGCCCCCGATACCCTTTGTAAAAGGCTGTATTGTGGCCAGTGAAAGTAGGAAAATGCTACGGGTTGCAATTTCTGTTTGGCAGTGCTAATGAGTGCACACTAGGGATTGCAGAGATAGTGCGGATTGCTACTGAGTGCAAGTTAGGGGTTATGGTGTCCAAGGACAGTGCTGAGAAAATGCTGTGCGCCATCTGCAAATTGGATTTCTGATGCTGCTTAGGGAGGGCAGTGTAAATAGAGATCAGCACAGCCTTATGGTACCATCAGGTTATTTAGAGGTCCTTTCTGTACATTATTTGGCAGCCATTGGCATTATACCTTTCTGGGAGAATGCATGCTGATACTGTGTACAGCAAAGTCATTTCTAATAGTGCTAAACTCCTTGCTTAGCAAAATAATTCAAACATGTTTATCAAAAAAATCTCCAGTTAAATATAGTACAACTAGAAAAGGATGCTTTGACTGAGACAAATATGGAGTGCCAGGTGGAGTTCTGCATTAATGGAACATACAAACAAGGAATAAGTAGAGTAGGCCATTCAGCCCTTCAAGCCTGCTCCACCATTCAGTAAGATCATGCCTGATAATAATTTTAACCTCAAGTCTACATTCTTGCATATCCCAATGTTTTTCATCCCCCTAGTAATCAAGAATCTATC